TTTCAGCCATATTGGAAGGCCCAGAAACACGACTACAGCCCAAAAGGAGAAGATGGATAGGCGTCGCAGCCATAAGCTCTCTTTCGTCTCAGAAGGAGGCTGCTTGGGTGATTTTGCGGCAGCAATTGGCGTCGAAGAAGACAGAGAGATCGTCTGCTTTATCTCATCCGCCAGCGGCGCGTCATTGTCATTCGGTGCCGCCATGATGCGGTAGACGTGTTCGTTGCTGTCCCTTCGGGCCATGTCGCGCTACCACGCGTGCTCCGTGCGCATTACCGATCTAGCTTCCGTCCGCCTTAAACGCCCTCCTCAAGATGCTGTTCTCTCCCTACCACAACGGTGCAACACTCTCGACCTATTTTCGCCTTACTCAGTCGAACGAGTTTCAACATACTGTATTCACATTGAGAAACTTCCTATACACGAGATAACAGGATCAAGGAACAATCTAGAAACTCGATCGTCACACTTGTATTAGACTTCTGGTTCTTCTCATCACTAACGCCATGTTTGCCAGTGGATTATCATATCTTCTCTTTTCCCTTCTTCGTGTTCTGGTCGTTTGATTCGCGTAGCTCGCGGCGCTTTGTTGTAAGGATATCTGCCGTCAGCACGCTGCCAATAAGCCAATCCAATCCTCTGTCTTCTAAATGTTGCTTTGTGTAATCAGGCTTGGCTTCTTCACCACAGTTGGTGCCTTAGTTTTATTACGCCCTGAAATATCTCAGCGGGAACGTGGTCCAGCCTGCGTAAGTACCTCCTCCATCTCTGATATACATTGCGTGACCCGCCTAAATCGACAATCCGTCGGTGTTCAGAATTTTTCACGACTGAGAATCTCAGCCCTTACCCAGCCACAATACAACCTTCGATCTGCGAAATGACCACCAGCCTGGTCTCCAGTTTCTACCGCTTCTTCTTCACGTGGTTTGATTGCATCGTCGCTATCCATGCCGCCTGCAACGACTTCGTGGACCAAGAATGGGTTATGAGTTACTCATGGGACTAGCTCTTCTCTCACGCGACCTTCTCCGAGCAACCGACGACCTGAAAGTCTGGAGATACATACAGGCTACCACCTTGCTCGTTGATGTAGCATCCATTTACTCGGCCTTTGATGCATTTAGTGTACAGGATCGACTGCAGCCTGCGTTGTGGTGCGGTGAAGATTGGGTTACTGTTTTGATTATAGCCTTTGTGACTTCCTGGAGAGTCGCATTCTTGGCTGGGATAGGATTTAAGACACATGCAGACAAAGCCGATTCAATGATCGCCAGAAGATGTGTTGCTCTGATTACAACATCCGAGGCATAATTACTGGTCGGAGAAAGTTGGTGATCTGGACCCCATAAAAAGGAAGCAGTGGTCAAGTGGACCCGAGATACAGTGTAATTGAGTTTCAGCTTATGTCAGGTGCTTTCTAGCGTACAGCCTCTTGACGCTTGTCAAGAAGTCAGGAGGCACGTTCAAGACGCGTCGAACTCAATGTTCATAGCTGTCAGTCTAGTGTTTCTCGAAAACAACGTGACCTTTAGTCGTTCACCTACAATGGTTTACGCGTGAACGATTGGTCCGTGCATGTCAATCAGGAAACACAGGTACTACCCAGTCTTCATGTCGACAAACTCGTTCCATCCAGCAGTCACCTGAGTGTGTAGTAGAGCAGTACCTCAGATCGATTCCTTACAGTTTATAATCGGTGTTTCAGGGACGCATGCGATCGAGGTGGTCCAGCAAGGGTCAGGGCACCGAGAGGTTGGATCGACGCTCTGCCCCGCCAGCTAGTCTACTTCCAGCCACTAACGGTCCGTGCTATGCGGGGTTGCATGTCTGGGGGAGGGAGCTCGACAGACCGTGACGCGTTGGTCGTCAGTTGCTCACGAGACTATAGTAGCTACCCCTCTCAGCTGAGGTAGCTTCGCTCCTTCCCACTGCTTCCTCACACGACAATTTCATGCTCACTCCTACAACCTACTCAATCCATCTCAATCCACATTCTACATCAAATCATTCACAATGAGTGCAATCGCTGACAGCACCGAAGGCCCTGTCGAGCAGGTCAAGGTGCTGTTTGCCCTGTTCCCGGGCTACAACACGCTCGACGTGGCAGGCCCGCTCGAGGTTCTGAGTCGCTCCCTCCAGGACGCCAAGGACAAGTGTCAGTCAAACGCTCACTCAATTGACCCTTTGTTGACACATTGCAGCCAGCAAGGCCTTCAACTGCCAATTCGTCGGCACCGCAGCTGCCATGACCTCCGTTCAGGGTCTCACCATCAAGGCAGACATGGACTATGAGGTGAGTCTACACGTACGGAGCCTCGGAACTCATGCTGACATCAATTCTAGGATGCCAACAACGAGCTTGAGGACTTTGACGTTGTCATTGTTCCCGGTGGTGAGGGTGTCTTTGAGGTCCTCAAGAACAAGTCTGAGCCTCTCGGACTCCTCACCAAGTACGTCGAGCTTCAAGAGAAGAGCCCCAGCAAAGAGCGTACCATCCTTGCCATCGACGTCGGTGCCCTACTTCTTGCTCAGCAAGGTATGCTCGAAGGCCTTGCCGCTACAACCCACCCAGACTACTATGTCCGTCTCGAGACAATCTGTCAAGACGCGGCTAGGCGAGACATGTCCGAGCGTACGGACGTCATGGAGGAGCGTTATGTAGTCAACAACGCCCGCTTCGACTTGGGCGAGAACCCCGACGACAACCCGTAAGTGGAATCTGAATTGCGCTGGCATGTATCGCTGACAATCCTAGGTACATCATCAAGAAGTCGCGTGAGCCACCAAGCGCTCCCGAGGGCACCAACACCGGACATGCCCGTAGGAAGTCGATTGCTCGCAAGGGCAGCAACGCCTGGCGTGACTCTCGCCGCCGCGAGTCTATCGCTAGGCGTGCTTCCATGCCTCTGGGCGGTATGCGTGTTATCACCACCGGTGGTGTGACTGCTGGGCTCGATGCCAGCCTCTACTTGGTGGGTTCTTTGGCTTCCCACGACTCGGCCCTGGAGGTCGCTCGTGCTATGCAGTATTCTTGGGTCAAGGGTGTTACGGTCGATGCGATCGATGTTTGAGCTACGGCTCCCGCGCGACAAGCGAAGGCGTTTACGATGAAAGGGTTGAACAGTGATCGGATCGGTTATCTGAAACATGTCGGGAATCTTAAGGATTTACCACGACGAATCATGTGAGGATTCATTGAGGAGTATTTAAAGAATCAAGAAATTCTGAAAGTCGTACCTGGTGGGGTGATGTGTCGTGAGAGATGTTGACAGGGAGATGTGCCGACGCGCAGCTCAGGCGTCTCCACAGCTCCACTGCAGGCGGGTCACCGTGCTTCGCTGGTGTTAGCGTGCGCAGGCCAAACCTTCTACACTACACATACGAAGTATGCAATTGTTACATCTCTTTGCATCAGCTTACCCGCAGCACTTGGAATATCATCGTCCGTCATTCACATAAAGTGTTGCGTTGCGGCATTGGTCCTTTTAGGCGCATTCTCATGTGTCCAGATTGGAAGGATACGATCCGCACTACTAGGCGTCACGTCCGCCACTCGTGTACGTCGTTTGTTCGCCGGTGGCAGATCGAACCTCTCTCTTGTTTTTGTGGGTACAGAGCGACTGATACAAGAGCAGTCATGCACGTGCTATGAGAAAGCCTACAATCCATTGATTGCCGACCTACGATCTTGTTACAGTGATCCACAAAGAACATACCCACGGACGTGGCTTGTTGAACTCCGTGCCTCTCACTCCAAGACATCGATAGGAATACCGATTTACTCTTCTTTCTCTAAACCACTGCGCCAGTGTGGAAACCCAAGGTACAGGACGACTCTTCTGAGGCTTTCATTCGCCAAGTACTGTCTTGCTACCGAGGGCAATCTCGACATTGAATGAAGAACGAGCACGTCAAAGTCACTTCCCACCCTCGATACGCGAAAGAACCAAGGGAGGCCGGTCTTCCAACCAACAAAGGCGATAGGCAGAACAAACCACTTTCCTAAAGCACTGCAACATCTGGCAAGCAAGCATGCTTACGCTCGTTACTACTCTTCTACTCCCGGCTCCGGCAGTGTCAGAGCATGTAAATGTAGGATATTTTGGAAAAGCAGAATGTAAAGGCCAACGAGTCCAAACAACAAGCATTGGACAACAAGAGATCAAGCTGTTGCATTGGGTACTCTACCCGACATCCGCTGACCAATAACAGCCGGTTAGTGACGTACTCGCTTAAACCTGCCTCCATGTCTAAGCATCTTCCCAAAAGAAACCGCCATGTCTTGGCGAGGACGAACCTAGGCAAGCCGCAAATGTCGCAACACATGGGCACGATGATTGGACAATATGCGTCCATCACGTCTTCTTTACGACTGGAGTGTCTTGGCTTCTGTAGGCGAATCTGTGCATGCGTGCCCAGGAATAATCTCTGAAGGAATATAACTGTCGGGCTATCCCAATCTCAATCCAGCTTCCCTATGCCACAACAACGTGTACGAATAACCGGTATCGCCAATGCCAATCCAGTCTCTCATAAGCTCACTTCGGCGGCGTAGCCGTCGCGCTTCACCTCCTCCAGCTCATCTGCAAGCAAATACCCAAAAGATCGAATGGCGTCTTTTGGACGTCTTCTCACGCATGTGGGATCTGGGCTTCACTGCTTTCGGGGGCCCGCCCGTGCATTTCCAGATCTTGCATCGGAGATTCGTCGAGGGGTTGGGGTTTCAAGGTGGAAGTAAATGGTTAGACGAACAGACTGTAAGTGTATAACGAGCAGTGTGATTGATATCATTTCCAGCGGTGCAAGTAGGCAGTATGAGAAAGAGCTGGTGGCGCTCGACGAGTGCGGATGAGAAGCAGAAGGCGAAGACGAAGAGGCATCTTTCTCACCTACTTGTATCCCATTCACCAGAGAGTATGCATTGCTGATATTTCTGATCATAGTACCAAGAACTCTTCGCAATATGTCAGGCTCTCCCCGGCCCAGCCTCAACTAAAATGTGTTTCTGCATCGCCCTCCTACATGCAGGCATCCTCTCCGCCGTCTTCGCCTTCCTTCTCTGGAGCCTTCCTGGCGCAATCGGTATGTATGGGCTTTCCCTCGGCGTACAGAAGATGCCGGAACGTCTCCCTCCCATTGTATACGCCCTGCTCTCCGGACTGAACGCCAGTACCGTTGGCATCATCGCACTAGCGGCTGTTCAATTATCTGAGAAGGCCATCAAAGACCGTCTTACACGCATTCTAGTGATCTTTGGTGGCTGTGCGGGTCTGTGTTACAATGCGCTATGGTATTTCCCTGTATTAATCGTCATTGGTGGTCTCTCAACTGTGATTTGGGATGTTTGGCTGAGACAGCGTGTGGGTAAGATGAAGGCTGCGTATCTTGCTAAAAGGAGGAGAGCGAGAGACGAACAAGGTGATGCGGAGGAGGTTCAGACTACAACACAGAGCATTCCTATTGAGCTTACGCGTCCAGAAGCTGTGAAGAGGAGACAGAGAGCGGGAAGCTCAACAGATCGGATTGTGCCTGAGCGAGAAGAGGCGGGACGGAGTCATGCTGGTGAACATCCAGTTGTTGATGATGTGGCTGCGAAGAATGATACCGAGACCGTTGCACCTGTGGCAGATGTCAAGACGCATAACATTTCTGTAAAGGTTGGCGTGTCACTAATCGTGGGCTTCCTGATCTCCTTCGTTGTCATTATGGTTATCCGCGGTACGGTATCCAGCGGCCGGTCATTCAATCTCTTCTCTAACATGTAAGTTCATCATAAAGCTCCCCAGAGTTCCCACTAATCACACCGGATAGGTATCTCGCCGGCACCATCATCTTCGGTGGCGGTCCTGTAGTAATTCCACTCCTGCGCTCTTATGTCGTAGACCCAGGCTGGGTTTCACCACGGGACTTCCTCCTCGGCTTGGCTATTATCCAAGCTTTCCCTGGCCCCAATTTCAATTTCGCAGTATACCTCGGCGCTCTGAGCATCGCTTCAGCACCCGGTTCTACGCCAACCATCGTAGGCGCTATTCTTGGTTTCATCGGCATCTTCTTCCCCGGCATTGTGCTAGCAGTCGGCGTGCAGTCTATTTGGCAGGTCATGCGCACCAAAGCATGGGTACTCAGTCTTTTGAGGGGCATCAATGCGACGGCTGTAGGACTAGTCTTCACGGCTGTTTACAGGCTTTGGGAGATTGGTTACTTGACGCCAGAAAGCAGTAATGGGAGGAGTTTGGCGGACGACCCGTGGTGGGTAGTCGTTGCTGCCTTGGCCTACGCGGAAACGGCTTGGTTTGGGGTCCCACCTGCTGTGGCGATCATCGTTGGTGCCATTCTGGGTCTGGGTTGGTATGGAGCCGTTGGGCAGTGAAAATTTTGACTACATATGTTGGCCCTGGCAAGCAAAACGCCATCAAAAGCAATACGGTCTTATGGGTATGTGGTCACAGCACCCATTCAGCTCTTACACCAACTAACAAACACCAGTCTAGTGGTATGATGTACGTATTATTCAGTTTCAAGACAATTCTTCATCACCTAACATGTTTTCAGTCTCGCTTAGGGACGTTCTATCAGAACACAAACCCAAGCACAGCTTGCGAGAGGCCCCGCGTTCGAGTCGCGGTAAGACCCGTCTTTTTTGCCCTTGTGGCATATGGGCAATGCTCCAGTCTTTTTGCTATATACTAGCTTCTTAAGTTTATCTAACAGACATTGTTCTTAATGCAGGTAGCTATTATCTTGTGCATCTAAAAGTGTATCTTGACGTCTTGCGTTACACGGTAGTAGGTCTAGTTATAACCTCACACCTTTTTTCCAAAACAGATACGTTGGCGTTTTTGTTTATTAAGAGGGATTCTGTGAGCTCTTACATCTTTGGGGTTGGAGAGTAGCCACTCCATCAGAGATTATATCGTGCTGCTCTACCGCTTTGTGGGATCTGCTTAAGTACAGACAACAATCCACCTTTTCGAATGAAGCTTGATATTAATCGTATTCTGGTCGTAGAAGATGAGGCAATGGAAACGATGCGATTGCGCATTATTCTGACTATCTGTTGTACAAGTGCTAGCTACAGCTCATTTCGAAGGAGATGAGTAGGGGAGATGCAACCCAATAAAAGGACCTCAACCAGCCAGCAAGAAGGAAATATTAACAACGCCCAAGAAACGCTAAACCGAAAATCCCAAACAGTTTGTTATTGCTCCAGGCACCGAAGCCAACCATATAAAAGAGAAAACCCTCACCAGAACGCCATGACCTGTCAATCACCCCGAAGGAAAGTTGTAACCACCACGACCACGAAATGACATCATGCTGCCTCTGAAGACAGGAGTCAACACCAGGCCATCAGCGTTTGGCCTACTTGTAGTATCCTCCATTTGGCGCGGACGTCGACGTGTTCGGGTCGTAGATCTGACCACCGCCATTGTGAATGATGGGTGGCTTGCTGTACGCTTTGCTGCGTGACGAGCTACCTGAGTTTGTGTATAGGCTCGAGGAAGCGGCAGAGTAGGCTGCAGGTATGTTAGACTCATCTTTGAGACATGCTCTGATAGGAGCAGGCAACGTACATGTGGATGAAGTCGAGGGGCGGGATGCATAGGCGCCCTTTCCCTGACCGTAGGAGCCGTAAGACGAGCTCGACGACATTGTTGATTGGTGTTGAGCGAGTTGGAGGCGTTCAGTGGCCAGTGGCGATCAGAAGGATGGGATGAGTGATCGTCGTGCAGAATGTGGTTGACGGCGATGAAGCTGGATCTGGGTGTATACGAGACAGCAAGGGCGTATCGTGGGTGTGACGAAGCTGTACTGTTGATTGAATACCACACAAGAACAACTGACTGTTTCAAAGATGCTTGATATGACTGTAGACTGAACAATTGTTTGATCGATTGACTGATAGAGAGAAGAAAGAAAGCAATCACCAACCTTACTCACAACTATTTATTCCAGGCAGACAAAACCTGAGGCCGCCACTCTACAAGACTCACCTTTCGTACTATTGACTATTGTTCCGCTGCCATCGGAGCTCTCCTACGCTCAATGTAACGCCGTTGCCTGGATAGCTGGGCCAGGCGCGTGAACGACGTGGATGACTGCGCGATTGCGATGATTCACACGCGTGGCTATGTTCTCTCGGGACAGGTCCTGAGGCAGGACACGCGTAGGGAGCGAATCAGCGATTAGGCAGCCCTTTTTGGCACCTGCTCGATCTGCCAAGAAGAAGAGTCATCGCCGGTGTGTGTAAGTTCACCGAAGAAACCAGTTCGGTCGGGGTGAGCTAAAGCCGCGTTGCGGCTAGAAAGGGCGGAGTCAATGACTTGGGTGATGAGCAGGGTGGTTGTGTTACGCCGTCTTCTCCTGCATGGCACGTCAAGCAGGACGAACGTATGGGAAGGCAACAAGGAATCAGTCCGAGACGCGCTATCAAGTGACGTGCACAGAGCCCTAGGCGACAGCGATGCCAGGAATGGATAATGACAAAGCGGATAAACTGGTGAACAAAAAGGTCACCGGTGCCGAAAGAAGAATGGGTGTGGGGGCTGAGGGAAAGATGGATGCCTGGAGCCATTGGCAGAACTGCGAAGGGTTCACCGCAATACAACACCATAGGAGTATATCGACGGCGTCCAAAGATGGGAGAAATGCGCATATGATTGGGAAAAAAACAAGAGAGAAAGAGGCAAAGGGCGGTGTTGTGAGATACGGGGGAAGGCGCAGTCGAAGGTCGCTGATACATGGCGGGGTCGCTGGGCTGTGAATGGCAATCAATCTGGCCAAGGCTGCTGCCAGGCTTAACGCCATTCACGTGGCAAATGGTCATTGATAACTCGAAAGAGACATTTATGAAGGTGGCAATTGCGCGGCTGCGAATTGCGCAAGTGCGCATGTTGTTCTGAGGTTTGCCAGCGCATAGCCGGTGAACCGCTGGAGAAGTCCTGAACGGGAGGCGCAAGACCGAACGTCTCGCCAACTATGCGGCCCATACACAGAACAGTGGGCTGCGTAGATTGGGTATCTTGTTTTGCCAGCGTGTGATCAGCGAGAAAGTGGAGGCATAGCATCCTACACCTGCATTCTGGGTTGCTCGTCAAGCCAGGGAAATGTCATGCGGGCCGATGGAGTTAACATCGCCGATGGAGTTAAGATGATCATCAATTGGTATCCGAATGCATTTGGGTATCGCTATATCCGCTCCTTCAATCTCCCCGTCTAATCGTACAATTTCAAGACACCATTCAAGTCACCAGCAACCACCTTACTTGTCTCCCTAGGGTGCCACTGTACTGACAGCACAGGCGCATCGCTCGCCGCAATCTTGTGATACATCTTGCACGTCTTCCAGTCCCAGAAACACAGGTAGCCTCCACTGTCGCCAGAGCTGATGAACTGCCCATCAGGACTGATCGCCACATCTGGAGCATATCCAGCCACGTTGTGCCCTCGGTAACTCTTCTTTCGGTTTTGTCGGAAGCGGTCCGTGGAGCTGTATACGGTGATTTGGTTGTCGGACGATTGGAAGGCAACGTACTTGCCTGACGGATGTGGTGAGGAGCGGACCATAGAGAACATGTAAGGTTCGGCGATGAACTTGATGGGTACAGGAATACCGTATTCCCAAGCGCGCAAGGACTTATCGTCTGATGTGGTGATGAAACGGCGGTTCTCATCGCAGAAGGTAATAGTATTGACAGGTCCGAGATGGTGATCGTATTCTTGCACCATCTCTCCGCTTCTTGTGTCGTATTGTAGGATCTTCTTGTCACTCATACCGGCCAGGAACTCGTGTGGTGTACTAGGGTTGATGCGCACGACATGCGGTGTCTTTCCAGTTGTAAACTTGTTCAAGCACTTTCCAGTCTCTGTGTCCCATAGCTTCATATAACGATCGTAACTGGCGGATACGAATTGTGTACCACTGGGATTGAAGTCAATGTCAACCACCGACTTGGTATGGCCCGAGTAGGTTCGCAGAAGCTCGCGTTGGTGGTACACGTCCCATAGTGCGATCTTCGAATCGGCCGAAGCGGAGAGTAAGAGATGACCGCTGTCAGGTATGAAGCGCACTTGGGTAATCGACTTGGTATGGTATTTGTAGGTGTGAATGAGCTTCTTCGGTATGAAACTCTTAGGCTCGTAATCGCCGGTAAGTTTGATGTCGAGATCCGTGGGGATATGCATATACGTCCGTCCCTGGTAGTCGTATTGCTGGCTGCCGACAAACTCGCTCGTCTCGCCTTCGGCTTCGGTATCGCGGTAATCCGTGCCAGCAAGCTTCTTTTGCACGGGTGCAGCATTGTCGACGATCTCGTCTTCCTCGTAGACTATCTCTACTTCGACATCCGATCCAAACTCGTCATCTGAGGCAGCGTCTGGCCTTTCTTCCTCATACTTCGCCCAGGGTCCCTTGTATGCGCCAGCGCCAGTTACAACACTCGAGTCGCCCTTGCCCTCTCGCTTCCTTTTCTTCGATCCCGCGCCTGATTCGATAGCACGCTGGCCTTGACGGAAAGTATGGTCGCTGATGTATGTCTCTGCAGCGAATCCGGTTGGCACGCGGCCTGAGCCTCCGGCTGCCATGGTAAATGTTTTTGGGAGCCGGAATAGGGTCGCGGCGCGTTTAGATCTCGGCGACGGCTCCGATATTGGTGGTTGGAAAGACTAAGAGGTGGAACGCGAGGAGTGACAAGTACGGTGTTGAAGTTGGAAGCTCCCAGCTCACTAGAAAATGTGGGTGACGACGCACGGACCATGTACACTATGTAATGCGTAGGGTGCGCAGTGTTACATGTGAAAACTGGGTTCCATTTACGAGAGCTAACATAACGCTATCATACCCCATCAGGACATAAAGTCGTTCAATCCTTTCCTGTATGCGCTTCCTGCCGCCAAACCCATTGCCTCGGGTATTCCACATTATCTCAACCCAACACTATTCATGTCCTCCCACTAGCAATATGCGTACGCGTGGCTCGTCTATCTGAGCCGGATATCAAGTGCATCTATCCGCCGTTTCCTAACCGCTGTTGAATTCGTGCCTCGAGGTTCATTGCAACCAGTACAGCCACAAAGATCCCCACAATCAAGACGAAGGGCGTGATCCCCACCTAGTGAGACTCGTCACGGATGAGGGCGACAATCATGCTGTAGAGGTAGAAGAAGAACATGAGCAGGTGGAAACCCAGCTTGATGAAGGATTCCTGCATGCGTGTTAGCCTGGCTTCCTGGACTCAGTATACCCTCTTATCGTACCTTCTTGTGCACGTTGAGCTTCCTGAAGATCTCCGTCGCGTCCAAAAGATGCTGGTTCTCAAAGATCCTGTTACTGTCAGCATTGTCCTATTTCCATGTCATAGCCCTGGTTTGTGACGTACTTCTTTCCATTCCAGGCCAATAGAGGCAGGTTCAGAATCAGCGCAATCCAGTATCCGTTGATGAGGAACAGGAAGGTCAGGAAAGCGTGGACAGCGGCTTCGGGAATGATGTAGGTGTTCAGGCGGTTACAGAGATCGATGGGGTTGATGTAGTCGCTGGCGCAAAATTAGCATGTGCTGATCAAGGTACAGGTTGTGTCGCAAAGGAGGCTATGCCATGGGGTCGTATGCTTGGGGCTCACTTACCATTCCAGATCGCTGTACATGATAGTAAAGAAGACTTGTAGGAACAGGTTGACGGCGTTTATCAGCACCGCCAACAGGTACAACCATGCTTCGCCAGTCATTGTGAAAGAGTCGTGTGCTGCGTAGCACGGCTATAGCGTATGAAGAAGGAGGAAGATAGACTAGCTATATCGCCAGTAGGCTGTTGTTTGCGAATGGACAGATAGACGACAGATGTTCAGGACTCGGATGCGGTCGTGTGTTTGCAGGCTGCCGAGCTAGAACGCGGGAAGCTAGCTTGTGCGCGGGGCCTAGCTAGAAGTTGCGATGACGTGGGTGGGTGGTGGATCTGCACGACCGTATGGCGATAATAGAATCCTGAAGAGCAACGGCGGCTAGCAAGGTCGTTCAAATTCTGGCGGTAGTTGGGCAAAGATGTTTGGATGACGTTGAGGCGGAGACACGATTGCTTCCCTGGACAGCGGGCAGGCACCGTTAGCGTCATTCGCCTCGCTTGCAGGTGTGCGATGAGCGGGCCAACATCGTCCGACCGAAGCTTAACGGAAGATTGATGATTTCACGGTGGTTCAGACTGCTCGCCGAAACGAAACAAAACGAAACATCATGCGCAGACACATAAATTCCAACCATGTGTACTGCTACACAGATTATCACGATCAATGCTGTGGAAACAGTCCACCACATCTGTCAATTGCCAAGTAAAGCAACGCCCCGTTTCTTGACCCACGCCACGCAATCCATTAATGATGGTGGTATCGTGAAGCTATGTGTGATCCCAAATTTCCCCAAGTTTTCTTTTTAAGCAGCTGCTTTTGCTTCGCCATTCGTCTCTCCGTTTGTGGTTCCCGGCATCTGTACTGGACCGCCGGGCGAGTCTGGTAGTCGTGCAGTCAAAACCTCTACGCCATCCTCGGTCACGAGTAGGGTGTGTTCTGTACAATGTTAGTTCTGAAAAGGATATTCGGACGAATGGATGAGAGCCTACCAAACTGCGCAGTCAGAGAGCCATCTTGGGTCACACTTGTCCACTCATCGGGCCAAGTCTTGTCCCTGTGCGAACCAACACTGATCATGGGCTCGATGGTGAAGCACATGCCAGGCTTTGCTGATCCAACTGCCTTGTTCTTCGCGTAATGAGGAACGTTAGGCGCGCAATGGAAGAGCTGGTTGACACCGTGCCCGCAGTACGTCCTGATTACGCTGCAGTTCTTGCTCTTTGCGTGCTTCTCGATGACGTTTCCGTACTCACGGAAGAGTGTGCCTGGCTTAACAATCTCGATAGCCTTGTCCAAGCACTCTCGTGCAGTCTCCGTTACCCGCACCGCGTCTGGGTTGGCCAGAGCCTTGTCTCCGATGTAGAATGTTTCGTTTAGATCCGCATGGAAACCGCCGTGGTAGACGGAGATGTCAACGTTCAAGATGTCGCCATCTTTCAGTACGCGCTGGTCGGGGATGCCGTGGCAGATGACCTCGTTTAGCGATGTGCATACGGATTTCGGGAAGTGGCAGTAGTTGAGGGGTGACGGGTAAGACTATTTCTGTCAGCACATCGCTCTGTCTTGCTATGATTGCCGCTCCTCTTACGTCGCGCTCGATGGTAGCCTTGTGAACGATCTCATCGATGTAATCAGTAGTAACTCCAGGCTTTGCCGCTCTTCCTGCAATATCCAGGATCTCTCGGCCGTAGCGGCACACCTTGCGCATCGCATCTTGCTCCTCCTTGTTCAGAATCGTGATCTTGTTCCTGTTGACAAACACCTGCTCCGAACGCGGTATGCCATCCTTGGCGTAGTCTGGGTGTCTGATGTGCTTGGGGACTTCGCGGCGCGGCGAGAGCGGGTATACGGGTCTAAGAGCGCCGGTGTACGAGTACGTGGGAAATGGGTTGTAGTGACCCGTAGCTGGATCCGGGTGAGAAACTACTTTCGGCGTAAAGATGTTTTGGAGAATACTACTTTGTGACTTGTGGACCTTCTTGTGCTCACTCTGCGAGGCCGTTAGATTATTTTGCCTGCGATGTAAAAGCAATCTCACTATATACCCAGTTGCGCTTGAAGCAGTCTTGCGAGCAGAAGTAGCTTTCTTTTCCTATCTTCTGGCAGTTTGGACATTGCAGCGAGCCGGCATCGTTCTCGCAGTCATTGCCTGAGCATTTGCGCGGGGCGTCTGTGGCCATCGCGTGTGGTGGTATAAGAGTAATAAGAGGATGGCTAAGGCGGGAAGTGGCCTGTATTTTCTCAGACGTTGCAGACTAGAGCGCGCTACAAAACTGTCCGTGTGGAGTAACGGGTTGCACACAAAAGGTCTGGTGGATTGCTACTCTCGCTCGTACGCCGCATCGTCGAGTCGGAAATCGTTGCAGGGGTCGAGGCCGCCGGCTGCCGATCAAAGATTACTAAGTAGCGGCTAACCGTAGGTCGCGCTTACCTTTTTCGGTCTTGACGTGCTTCATGAGCCCTACTTTGCCATCCTATCTGACTCTTTGACTTTCTGGTTATGCTTTGATAATTGTCACCCGTGTCTCAGCTTTTTTCGTCCCTGTAGAAAATGGGGTTTTACCTTTCTTTTTTTCTCCCATTCTCTTACTCCCCACCTCACACCACCCCGCCTCAGAACACTAACTAGTGAATCCATCAATTTTTAATCCATCATCGCTCGCGCTGCCTCTCATCATGACGCAGAAAGTAGTCGTAGTTGGAGCCGGGCCAGTTGGCTCGCTGGCGGCGCTCTATGCGGCTGTGCGTGGATATGAGGTAGATGTCTACGAACTAAGAGCAGGTAAGACATGACCTGTGGACCATCTCGGTGCTAGCGAGTACCCTAACACTAGCTAGATCTTCGAGACCCTAACACTACACCACTAAACTTCTCAAAGTCCATCAACCTTGCTCTCTCTGAGCGAGGTATACACTCCCTTCGCGAGACAGGACTATCCGACCTTGCCGATGCGGTACTGGCGGAAACATTTCCTATGCATGGTCGCATGATTCATATAAGGAAAAATGGAGAGTATGTTCGACAACCGCAGATCTATGATGCGAGAGGAAGAGTAAGCATGATTCCATCGTTCAACCTGGTTTTGTGCTGATTCGAGTAGAGCTTGCTGGCTATGGATCGAACGGGTCTGAATAAAACATTGCTCGACCATCTGGAGGCCATGCCGAATGTAAAGCTCATGTTCAACCACAAATTGGTCGGCGCAGACTTTCGAAAGAAGACAGCATGGTTCGAGCATCGAACTAAGTCTCCTGAAGAGCAGGGCGACGAGTTCGAGATCAACTTCGACCTCATGATCGGTGCCGATGGTGCACACTCCGCGGTTCGGTATCACCTGATGAAGTTTGTTCCCATGTCGTTCCAGCAAGAGTACATTGACAAACTCTGGTGCCAATTTCACGTTCCTCCCTCGCCCAACGGCGACTTCCGTATACCTCCCAATTACCTCCACATCTGGCCTCAAGATGAGTCTATGTTCATTGCACTTCCGAACCTCGACAAGACATTCACGTCTACGCTGTTCTTGACTAGAGAAGGATTCGAGCAGTTGGATGCATCTGGAAAAGTCGTCGAGTACTTTGATGAGAAGTTCCCAGGCGTTGTACCAGATCTGATCACGGAAAACGACCTCCGCGAGCAGTACACGTCCAATCAGCACCTGCCTTTAATCTCGATCAAATGCACTCCATATCACTATGAAGATTGTGGCGTCATTGTCGGCGATGCCGCGCATGCTATGGTACCGTTCTATGGTCAAGGGATGAATGCTGGACTGGAAGATGTTCGCGTTCTGTTTGACTTCATTGACAAGCATCCAAACGATCGGTCCAAGGCCTTAAGAGAATACACTAAAGAGCGAACTCCCGATGCACATGCCATTAACGATCTTGCCATGGGCAATTATCGCGAGATGGCGAGTGATGTCAAGAAACCGCTATATCTATTGCGGAAGTGGGTGGAAGAGCAGCTCTACCTTTACGTTCCGAGCGCTGGCTGGGCCACTCAGTATTCGCGTGTCACATTTAGTAACTTGCGATACTCCAAAGTTATCCAAGCGTCCCAAAGACAAGCTAAGATACTGCACGGGGTAGTTGGCTTAGCGCTTGCTTCTGTCGCCGTCACTGCATTCTGGTTTGCGAGATCCGGCGGTGCACAACAAGCGAAGATGGGAATTATGAGGTCAATTTGCATAGTTGTACAGAGAATGCAAAAGCTCACAGAAAGGTGAGCTGCAATGGCGAAAGCATGAGCGATGACTTGTGCGCGGCCTGTAATATTATATCACTTCAAAGCGCTGGTTCTCACTCGCGCTAACGTAACCTTATCATATAGATGTCGTTACACGAGCGGTTTATATCACCGTTATTCGCAAAAGCTTTTCTTCATATCAAGAATATACTCTACTTCCTGGCCTCAATGTTGGTTACTCAAAAGTTCATTCGCGGGCCGGTAACCGCTATCCCAGGAAAGATAACACAAGGAAGGTAGTAATATCAAGGTTCTGCAGTCGAATACGAAACCACATTCCACCACAACGCTATGACGATAAGCTTCGCAGCGCCACAAGCGGCAAGCCACGTGAGCTCCGCGTGGATGTGTTACTGCCCCACAAGCGAAATGTGGGGAAGCGATTCGGAGTGAGTGCATATTGTGGCGCTCGCTTGCAGTGGCATCAACTTTCGACAAACTACATCTGGAGTACAAGCAGTCGATATGGTCCAGGGTCACGATCATCTCGCTTACGCACTTCCATGAGCAGTGTATTTGCGTTACAGCCATTTCGATGCAATCTATCATCAACTTTTTTCGCATTCGGTGCAAGTCAAGCCGGAAATACTGGTATCTTCATAGTCGCGTTGATGTCTCCCGGGTGTGTGGCAACGCATCTCCACTTCTTCGATACACAAAGCCATCTATGTTACACTCTACACACTATGCGGATAAATTCGCCAACCTCTCACAACCCACACAACAAACATTGTACCGACGCTCACGACCTTCCAGAAACAGCGTGTTCACCGTACTCGCAAGGTCACATTCACCAAGGAGAGTTCGGCATGGCTTGGGCTTGTAATCACAGACTGTTCTTTGGATGTAGGCCCATGCTCCAGAAGCCTCAGAACCTTATACCCGGGTCGCAGTGAGGTCAGTCACGCGTGGCAGTAAGGTCTTAACCTGGATAAGCTGGTTGCTATTCTGGTTTATCTTGCACGCATGCTTGTATATCGCCGCTCTGTACTTTACGCTATGGTTATCGAGTGGATGGATCTCCAGCGCGGCAGCTTGGCGAGTCTCGATTTGTTTTTATTAAGGCATCTCGTCGCTACAGGTTCTGCTTGTGACACGCACAATATTTTTCACTCCTTTGAACACTTCAAGCTCATCTTTTTGTGCGGTTGCTCTATCTGTAGACAGCACGAAATCTTCTAGATTGACAATACGGTCGAAATGTATTTCACCTATGGTCTCGCGGCTTTGGCCGGCCTTGGTGAGTAACTTCGGCTTACACGGAGTGCAGTTCCAACTGAAAACGTGTAGCTCAAGCATGGCCAACGTCAGAATCACAGCATCTAGCGCCTCGCGCTGTGAGCTATGTGGACTCGGAAACAGGATTCACGTTCTCCGAGACCAAGGCAGCTGCAACACTCAGCTCCAACATCATCTACCGCATAGCGCAACCTGCCAATGTTCCAGCAGGTCAGCCCTACGACGTAGTGCTCCAAGTTGTTGCGCCCAACTCTCTCGGCTGGGTCGGTCTTGCTTGGGGTGGTAGTATGATCCGTAACCCTCTCACGGTCGCATATCCTAACGGCCAAAAACCCACTGTATCTTCACGATGGGCCACGTAAGTCACCTTTATCCAGAAATAGCCACGATTCTCTCTGACACGTACGAAAGCGGCCACTCCACGCCTCAACAATATCCCTCTGCAACTTACACGCCTTTGACCACTGGCAACAAGTCAAACAACACACACTGGCAATACACCGTCAAATGTACTGGCTGCACTACGTACACCGGCTCATCCGGTACTGTACGCATTGACCCCAGCGGTAGCAAACGTCTTGGTTTTGCCTGCGCGCAGGGAAAAGTGTCGAACCCGTCTTCGACTAGCGCAACGATTCCGGTGCATGATGTGTACAACTACATCACGCATGACTTCTCCGCGGGTGCAAACCAGAATTTTCAAGCTTTGTTGAGCAAGAACGGGGTTGCGAGCACGGGAGAGACAGGGAATATCACAGAGAAAATCTAGATTTGCGTATCGTATAAGGTGTAGACTGACAGGGAGGGGCTAAATGGGGGTTTTGTAGATATCTTTGAGTCTTCCTTGAATATATTTGACATAACACAAGTCCATGTGTTTTTGGAAGTTGCTTGATGCTGCGCTATGAGCTTCTGGTTTTCACATGTTAGAGCTCTGGGGAGAAGCTTCCCCGGTGTGTTCAGTATGGCTCAACATAATTGCTAGAAACGCTCTTGGTGCTTCGCCACCCAGCTATGTGAGCGAGCTTCGTCTGTCGACTTCGTACTATTGCTCTTGAAGTGTCAAGACTCCTAGACAGATACGGTAGGCAGAAACTTCTTGCGCAACAAGGCCAGACGTGGAGATGAGCGGATAGGAGGCGACTATGGCTAATAGTCACGGAGTAACGGCGTCACGGGCAGATTACATAGCAAGGGTAGAAATTCTGGTAACAACAAGGTGCATTCGCATCGTCCTCGGTGATCTAAAGAATTACATAGAACAATGCCAAACGAGTGGTAAGCAGAAAGCACCACCTCAACAACTCTCAGCAATGGGGGACCAAGCTAGTAGTAAGTGCGTCGCCGCAGCCATGAGATATTTGTAGGGACCGATCGCGTCTAAGCCTTGATGGCCATGTCACCGAGTGGCATCTCCTTGAGCCCTGTGGTGCATGTGTTAGCTTCGTGCTACATTCAAGCAGATTATTGATGAGGTACTTACAGCCGTCAACGTCTTCAGGAGCTTGTTGCTTCTTCTTGCAAGCGTTGTATTGAGCGGGCTGCTGGACCGTAAGACCAGCTTTGGGACATGCAGTGTTGAGGTTGCATTGATTGTCCATGGCTTTCTGGAGAGAGTCGCCTTCCCAACCGAAGACGTAGTCGCCGTGTGCAGCAGCACCGCTAGAAGTTCATAGTTAGCCGTGTTCTATCTCGCTGGAGACAAGGCTGCCAAGTGAAAGTGGACCTCGCGAGAAGACGTACCCAATGTTCATGCTGTAAACGAAAGGATCTGAACCATCAGTGGGCCACAAGCTCTTGTCGGCAAACTTGTTGACGTCCCACATCAGTTCGTACATGATCTGAGGAAGCTTGACGGGGTGAGTGGATGGGCAGGCACCACCTCCATTAGCACCTGAGCCTTGGCCGTAAGCAACGTGACTTTGATGGTCTGGTGAGTCGAGGTTCTTGCCGTCCCAGCAAGTAGGGAAGATGATGGTCTGGCGGATAAGCTTGCACTTAGGGTCCTTGGGGATGGCGACGGTGTCACTCCCTGAGCAAGGTGCGCCACCGACGAAGGTACTCTCAGAGGGGGAAGTCCAGCAGCGATGGCAGATGTTGGAAAGCTTGACTTTGCTGTTGTCGGTGTTGGTAGCTGAGCCTGCAAGCATGCGGAAACCCTTCTTGAAAGCTGTGGTTTTGCCGCTGGGGATATAGTAGACATCAAGACCGCCGTCGTTGATGAGCTTTCCTTGTGGTCCACCATTTCCGATCTGAGCCGTGTGTTAGCAGCGTGCCCTATCGTTTTCTTCACTGCTATGGTGTTACGTACCTGAGGCACGCGAATGTATGTGCCTAAGAGACGAAGGTACAAAGTCAGTGTATGTCTCACATACGTTTCGTGCCTTCACAACTTACCGTTCTTTGCCTTGAAAAACATTACAGCAGTCCAGTAGTTCGATTTATCCTGGACGAAGCTGCAGGAAGTGCACTTCGAAAGCTGCGCGGGGTCGTTTGCGGGGTCCATGGTGATGTTGAAAGAGTCACCTCCGACGATCTGATGAAGATGAGGTGTGTACTTCACGCCGGGGTTGACAAGAGGATCTGTTCGTTCGACGACAAGCTGTGAGCAAGCAAATCGCAACATATTTTGTGCAGCAACGTTCCCGGCGAGGGCCGTTGCTGCAGCGAGTAAGGTAGCCCACTGCATTGTGACTAGCGATTGTAACGTAGTTTTCGACTCGTGAAGGTGTAAGTGATACTCGACGAAATGAACGATGATGAGTGAAGAGACGCAGAGTTCACAGCCGTGTCCTGTATTAACTTCTCTTATAATGAGAAAACAAAAGTAATCGCCGAATTGGGTCGTCCACGAGGACAACTGCCGGACCACGGGGGGAATCCTGATCGATCAGTTCTGCAAATTATGGGTTTAATATAAGATGGTATGATGATTGGGCTGGAGAAGCATGCAACGCATATTGTTCGCCCACTTCGTAAGATGAACCAAAGAACAACAAATTCTGGAGTGTGCACGGGGAAGGTCGTTGCAGCTTGTCAGGCTCGCTGCCAAATCATACTGATGATTTGACCACTGACGAGCCCGGATGCCCGGATGCAAGCTTTAGATTTGCCGCCCATGATATTACGCCCGTGGCATCGGAGGCAAAGCGCTCTTACGCTGTATTTTCCAAGGCACTTGGCTTCTATCTAATCAACAGATAGGAGTCGGTGTAATGAACGCCGAGCCCCCCTTGAAGACTAGAGTCTGCGAAGACTGGATGATCGATAGCTTGTCTGCTGGAGTGCTTCAAAAGGTGCTGAAGAAAGTCAAGAGACGTCTGAAGTGCAATAGGTCGCCAGCGTGACTATTGTCGACTTTGTGCAAGTATCCAACGAGTAGAGCTTCGCCAGTCACATCCACCTACAGCGTGTGAAGCGTCACATCTTGAGAGTGATCAAGCGTGGGGTGAGGATCAGCATCACAATCCAAATTAACGCGGGTCATCCACCACTTGAACATGCCGCCGATGTGGCCTACATGCTTGGATGCTTTGGATCTTCCAGTTCATTCGAATGGGAAGTTATGGATGTATTTTTGAGGCTGAATGACATACAAGAATTGTTGGGCTCCCACGTTGGCGATATTACGTCTTGCGTGTGGCACTTTCGGACATCCTTGCTGACTTTAGTGTCAGTTTGATGTCATCAGGCGGTGAAGATGAGTGGGAACAGAGTGTTGGGAAACAGAGACGCCAAGCATGCTCCGATGTCCAGATATCGGGGCTATATGTGGCGGTAAATTCAAAACACTGACGAGCTTTCGATTTCGCTGAAGCACTGCTGTGCGCCAGTAGATGGCGAGGACAAACCATGTAATGACGAGCATACATAGACCGTTATAACATCGTGCGTTGGAACTAGGCGCATGTTTCGAAACTCATAAGGCGGCCGGAGGTTCTAGTGATTCGTCGTCGCGGGCATGTGGAACGATGAAGTCGGAGCAAGGTTTGACGAAGTCTGCGGGGCGTCTTCGCTTGGCTTTTCACTCCGGAGCAGGCGCTAACACCCATGTAGTGACGCTTTCCTCACTGCATGGAAAATCATCCGCAGACACCTAGCTTTGCCTCCTTCCCGTCACCAAGCTCATCTATTGTTCCTCACGCAGGAAGCCGATTGGGGTACGGCCGCCTTTAGCCGCGGCCAATGTGGTCAAGCCTGCATCCTGAGTTGTCCTTTGCGGCAGCCGAGATATTACAAAGTGTTTAGATTGGCACCAGCTGATGAAGGCCCCTTATGCTCACTGGCCGGCACTTCCGCCACGCGACTCCTCGTTGTGCAAGGTAGTTCGTGTGGGGTATCGCATGGAAAATTGCCGAGGGCAGGGGTTGCGCATCTCCAGATATTGCGGCTGAAGTGAGAAGTAGCATACTGCATTGTGGGACGATTGAGTATGTGGGAGGAGGCACAGTTCTTTACCAAATTGCTGATGAATACAAAGAAGAAGTTTGGCTATGTTTATCTCAAGGATGTATACACGCGTACCAAATCTCAAGAAGTGGCGTATGTGAACATGATTCTATCCAGAATTGCTAACCATCTTGACTGCCCGACAAGCCAATCTCCGCGACGACACGATGCCGAGTGGACCAAGCAATTCGCATCCTTAGATAGAGCCAAAGAGTATCACCAAGCAATCTTGGCAAGCAACCCGTTCGGCCATCGGCGCACACAATACTTTCTTGCCTCATCTATGGTGAGCCATCCCATACCAAAAGCAGCCGGAAGGAACCAGTGCTCGACGGATATCGTCCTCGTGTCGATAGTGTCCTGGAGAGATGGAATGTAGCAGAAGATGAAGACAACAACGATCGCGAAGATCATGGCAGGGAAAAGTGACCAGTTCTGAGTCGCTTTGTTGAAGATCGGTGGCTGCTGGAAGATGCTGAGCCTACGGGTACGAGTAGCAAGTAGGTTAAATATTTGCCTGTCGTCAATGTCAGCTGGTTCTTTGCATCACTGCTCGTTCAGACTTACATGATTACCAGTGTGACGAAGTAGACACTCGAGGCCTGATTTGCGACCTCCGTGACATAGTCCGGATCGTATTGCTCGTCGTACACACCGAACTTCAACCACATTGCCGTGAACGGAACTCCCTTACGCTCCATGTACCAGAAGCTCATAGTGAAGGCCAGAAAGCACTCCAGCAGACCGACGACAAAGTAGGCATGGAAAATAAGTCGAGCGTTCACAAGTCGGTCCTTCTTGGGGTTGCGGGGAGGGCGAAGCATTACATCAGCCTCCGGCTTTTCGTAGGCAAGAGTGATAGCGGCGGCACAGTCGGTGAGACAGCAGATTATGATCTGGATAACGTTAGCTAATAAGCATTGAGCATCAAACCTAGACGTAGTTACCATGAGGAAAGACGACAGGATCTGCGGGATACCGAACGCGACATTGGTAACGACCGGCCACAGCTCACTGAAGCTACCTGCGGGAAGCAAGTAAACTATTGTCTTTTTGAGATTATCGTAGACGAGCCGACCGTATTGGACAGCCTGAATGATGGCGGCGAACGAGTCGAGAAGAACCATATCAGCAGCTTCAATAGCGATATCTGAACCACTGCCCATGGCGATACCAATGTCAGCAGCTTTGAGCGATGGAGCATCGTTGACACCATCACCTGTCATACCGACAATGTTATCACGTGCCTGGAATTCCTTGACGATACGGAGCTTCTGTTCGGGCGTCGTCCTGGCGAAAACGATCTCGTGATACTGGCAAAGCTGATCCCATTGCGCCTCGTTTAGGGTAATGAGTTCTGGTCCACTCAAGACGATCGACTGCTTCGTAGTGCCGATCTTCCCATCTCGACCAAGAGCGCTGATGTCATCTACCAATGCGGAATTCGAAATGATGCCGCACTCCTCAGCGATCGCCTGAGCAGTGAGCTTGAAATCACCGGTCACCATGAAGATACGGATAGAAGCTCCTCGAAGAACACGCACTACCTCTGGGATCTCGTCGCGGGGCGGATCAACGATACCAACGATGCCAACAAACGTAAGACCCTCTCGGGCAGCGACCATTACTTCTTTCTCAGGATGGCTGGAAAATGGCACAATGGTCGGCTTGCGAGCGAGAAGTATGACACGCTTGCCCTGGCGGGACCAACTGTCTTTGACGGTCTCGATACGAAAGCGTTGGGCTTCAGTAAGCTCCACTTCTTCGCCTTTGTCGTTCAGGAGAAGGTCGCATCGGGGTAGGAGGATATCAGGAGCTCCCTTGACCATGAGAGTGGCGTTGTTGCTCGTCGACGTCTGATTGGTAGGTGTCATGATCCGTACCATGAACTTGTTCTTGCTGTTGAATGCAATCTCGAAGACCTTTTTCCAGTCGCGACGCAACTCAGCCACTGATCCGAGGCCCTCAGAAAGTCGAAGTATGGCTTGGTCTGTGGCATCGCCGTTGATCTTGCGCTCAGCAATAGGCAAATGTGACGTAGCGGCGTCAAATTCGCCAGAGTTGCAAAGGCCACCGAGGATACGGACGTGGTCCATGATGTTTTGCTTAGGTTTAGAGAGAACAGTGAGGTTCTTCTCAGACCGAAACACCGCCATCATGTCACGCGCGGCATCCGTAGTGTATTCTTCTCCCGCTGCGTAGATGTCCGTGACCACCATCTTATTCTTGGTCAATGTTCCGGTCTTGTCAGAACAGATCACTGAAACGGATCCCAGTGTTTCGACAGTCTTGAGCGACTTGCAAAGGATCTTGTTTTTGCGCATAATGTTTGCAACAATCGTCAAGCTCGTCGTAAGCGCAATCGGTAAGCCTTCTGGCATGACTAGAAGAAAACAGTAAAGTCAGCACTCTTGTGATGGATGTACGGATTGGCAGTGTCTTACATGCAACAGCGCAAGAAACACAACTAACGATGAGAAGAGGCACGTCGATCCAAGTGGGATGAGATTTTCTCAGCCATGCTGCCCTGAAATGTGTGAGTACAAATCCTTCAATTCGTAGAGGGCTAAGCATAGACATGTCGCTCGAGACCAACCACAGACATACCAGAGAACCACAATGAGAATCACGACAGTGGTGATGAAGAGTGAGATGATGAGCACGAAACGCAGGATCTCCTTCTGGAGCGGTGTCATGCCAGTCTTTGGATCCGAGGTAAGCTTTGCGATGCGACCGAAGATGGTGTTGTCACCAGTAGCAACGCACACACCCAAGCAGGAGCCTGATATGCAGTGTGTTCCTTGTAAACCGATATTATTGGTCTCGAGATAGTTGTCTTCAGTTGATTCGATGGTAGCTACGACAGGCTCAGATTCCCCTATCGTATGTTAGTCCTCGTACCTAGGTTGCAGACATAACACTGACCAGTAAGGATTGCGCGATCGAACATGGCATCGCTGGAGATGTCAACGAAACGAACATCGGCGGGCAGCTTGTTGCCCTGCTTGATGACGATAATATCGCCAGGCACCAGGTCCAGTGCTGAGATGCTAGCATGCGATCCGTTACGCACAACGATGCATTGATCGGGCAGCATTGTTCCGATAGATGCCATCACTCTACTTGTCGACCAGTCTTGCCATGCATTGAAAGCTGCTTGTATAAGCCAGACAGCGATCAATACACATGCAAGCGCCAAGTTGGCAACAGCTGGTGGATGACCAAGAGGCCTCCAGGCGATGAATACGAGTATACCGGCAACGACGAGGATGCTACCAAAGCCACCGAAAAAGTAGCCTATGATCTTCCAGAGCAGGCCCGAGGGTGGAGGTGTCATTTTGTTCTGACCATGTTCGCTGAGGCGACGCTTTGCTTGATCTTCGGAAAGTCCCTGCTCGATATCAACAGAGAGGCGGCGGCACAGCTCGTGGACGGCGAGTGTATGCCATTCAAGATCTGCTAGGTCTAGAACACAATACTCAGTACTAATAGTGCTGGTATACTTGAGCAAACTTACCAACAGCAGCCTTCTCTTTGGCTTTCTTCACCTCGATCTGCTTCTTGTGTTGACCCTCATCGATCTCGATGGAAAGCGTACGGTCTGAATATCAATCGAGGAGGTCAGCATATATCTCACACGTGGTCCACATAGAAGCATTGCTCACAAGTGATAGGCAGTGCAGTCTCGGGCTGAACAGTGCGAGCTCCTCCAGCACTGCGGATGGAGAGACTGCCCACACTTGACCGTCGCGACAGATTACGCTCATGGCGGCGCTCGTGCGTCGCATACCCATCTTCTTCGTCAGGAAGGCGAAGCTCTCCAAATCGGACGCGAGGTGCGACCTTCTCTTCTTCTTGATCCATGTACGGTCCTGTCGGTGTAGTGGGCTAGACACTGGATGGAGCACTACAAAGAGATGTGCGAAAAAGAGGGAGAAACGAGCTAGAAAGCGAGAAGACAGGCAGCACAAGACTCATGGATGCATGAAGCGCGACTTATACTGTGACAAGTGGAAAGACCATTTGCCGTTATGAAAACCAGCATGGCTCTGGCAGCTCTGGCAACGCGTCAAACACGTGCTCCTTCGCTCTGAGAGGCGTTTCTAGGACGTAAAAAATCCTTGAAAAGCTGAGCTACATGAAATTGCACCAAGAATGTGGTACAGGATCTTTCACCTCTTTGTCATAGTTGAGTTGAAGCGATTCGACGCACAAATACCTCATACAAACCAAGACAGGACCAGGGCCCCGCAACAGGTAAATCGCGACCGCCAGAGGTATCCCGCCGGACCTTTTCCCACGTGAGCATGATAATCCATTGGCGATGGTGTTGTTCGGGACCGTTGATGGTTAGCCGTGAGCGATTTTCGAACACGTACACAGCCACGCTACGATGCACGAAAGCAGGCTTCCGCCGCTTCAGCCTATGACCATGCGCGATTTTCGACCTCACTTCCCTTTGAATGTAGTCATCTCGTTTCAAAAGAAAGGAGCATGGCTCTCTTGGCGCTTTATTGATGCTTTGCGGTGGTGAGCGACTGCCTGTTGAAGCAACCCGGGTTTGTGGGCCTTCAAGTCCCACCGGCACGTTCATGGCCTAACAGCCACATCGTGTCAGAGGTTGCGTAGACGAGCATTACATGCGTGCTTCAAGTGGACTTAGCGACAACGTGGGGGAGGATGCAATTCGTTTTCGCATTCGTTCATGCCATCATGTGTGGCTCAATGCTGAGTTTCGGGCCCTCGAAAATCACAGTGCGTGCACATAGATCACTGTTTACACAGGCAGGAAGCGTGGCAAGGATATGTACAAAGCCATGAAGGCCATTGAACGGTTGTGCTTTAGGCAGAGTTGTGGGTGGTAAGAGAGGAAGCCTGTTCATACAAAGGGGGGTCTTTTCCAAGGTTGTCTGTGCGCAACGAAGCTCCCCAAGCCAAGAGGCGGCCTGGAGCACGCGAAGCTTACCACCACGTGCGACATTCCTCTCGCAATGGACATCCACCACGCGAATGGACAATCGCAGAGCCCTTCGGATGTGCCCTCTCTCCCCGAATGAGAGGTACAGCCCGCCATCTCGGCATGGCGCCGATATGTCCATCTGTACGCCCCCATGATCGCCAGCATCTTTGCTCTATCCTTGTCGCCAGCCATCCACCAAGCCCTTGGCCTTCCAACTGGCACGAACATACTACCAATCACGGCTTCTTTTGGGATACCCACATATCTCGCAGCATCCTTATTCTACCCCACAAACCAACCCGAACCTACTCCTGAGCAATCAATCCGCTTCACGCGTAAAAACGACTTCTACCGCGCAGGTGTAATCGCAACATACGGTCGGCTGTTCGATGCGCCGTACAACGTTACACGCTTCTTGATGGATGTACTATTGAGTTACGGCGCCGACCAAGTCATCGGCGAACGTGCTGTTGGCACGAAACAGCGGCGATCAAATTTTCTGGTTGCCTTGACGTGGATTGTCGGTAGCAGAATGGTCGCACTCTGTCTGGCGTTCGATACACCTGTCCTGCAAAGACTCGTCGTCATGGTGGATCGAACGCTCTTTCGCACGGCCTATGTCGCGCTGGTAGATGACGTTCTCGGTGTTTTGACCCAACCTAATGTTCGAACCTTCAAAGGGAAGATCACCCTCATCGCGACCCAAGCATTTGTTATCTGCGCGATCGGACTAGTGTTCGTTGCATGGGCAATGAGCCATTCTGGCGAGATAGAGAGCGCCTTAGCCGAAATGAATGCAGAGTTAGGTGACGTCAGCTTAAAGACTCCATGATGTATTTTCGTTTTAGATAAGATTTACCAAGTGTACGAAGCACCAGATCGTAAGGAGCACGAACAACGTTCGACTGCCCTTCGAACCGGACATCCATCAGACTCCCCCTTTGATAGGTTCTAGACAGTATCGATACGGAGCATCGGACTGATGCCTGCCTTGCCGAGACTTTCGCACTCAGCGACTCCAAATCGAGACTTAGTATCGCCCGAGTAAATGTCGCGATTCTGGTTGAACATAGCGATATAGACTGGTAAGTTTGATCATCGTAATAGCGTCATGTGTATTTTATGATACCTCTTACTCATCATCGTGCTACACTCGTGGTATCGAAAGCTACATGCAGATTTTGTGCCTTGACGTGCCAACATTCTTGGGTCATTCCGTTACGTAGAGGGAGGCGTTTATCAAGTGGTCCACACGCCTGACTTGTAGATCGATATACATGCTGTCGGTTCGAATAGTAGTTTACGTTTGACAGCGGCACTTAGGCGCTCCAGTGAGACCAAATATATCCAAATAAACAGTTCATCTTTATACATTCGCTACAACCAGATATGGCAGTTTGTCTTCTGTTCACCTGGTTGCAAGGTTTTGTCCCAGAGAGGAGATGTCTTGGTGTGTATGATGCGCGATCACCGCACAATGAAAGCGCGCGTCTACGATAAGCACACTAATTTGAACTCTTCCGCCCTCGCAACCCCAACTTGTCTACCATCCTCTCCAATACTCGTAAACCCTGACTCTTTGGAGCGCACGATCCAAAGTATCTCAGCCTCACGAGCCGCCGTAGCTGATGGGTGTTGTCTACGAGCAGCAATCCCTTCATCGTTCCAACTCCACCCATGGTATGTATACAACACATATCATAGTTCCAGTTATGCTCTGACTGATCACAGCTGCCCTATTCTCCCTCTTTGTCTGCAGTAGCTGCCGCCCAGCTCGAACATACCAACGTCGCCGCCATGGACGCCCTCCTACCAACGCTCTAGCCACAAACTGTACGTCTCAGATTCCTCGGTTTGCCCACGGAAATACGCATCGAGATACTTCGACATATGCTAGTCGAGGAGGGAAGGCTGTTTCCACATAATACAAACCCAAGCTGAAGAGGCAAGGACGAGGCAACTACGAGCTTACCGCGAAGTACGAGTCGACGTTTTCTCAGGCCATGAGTTCTGGGATTCTGGAAATGAGGTTAGTAGCAAATTTGCTACTGCCAATCGTATCAGGAGTGTTCTCCGGACACAACTGCTTTGACCTGAGGACGTAACATAGGTGGACAAGAGGCGTTGAAACATACCATAGAGCAGAACTAAGGATGTGAAGGTGCCGATGATGGAAGACGATTATACATCGGCCACGGTTAGATGTTGTCTCCCCTTTCTCTAGGATACCTTCAAGTGCTAAAAGCTCCGTAATCAAATCCCACTTGTTAGATAGAAACCTCCATTGTAATGCCATATGTTCCAAGATGTCACTGTCGATCTCTCCCTGGAGAGTACATTCTTCGAAAACTTCGAAACCGACGTGATATTGCCTCTGCGCTTCCTTTGGTTTGTAGATTTTCGAAATTCATCCCCTCTCACCACCACTCCCTTAATCCTCTTCGAGTATCGCCTGGGTGACCGTTCGCGAGGGCCGCTAGCCCACTCACAGTCTTGGCAGGAAGGTCAAAGGACACAACAACTCTGTCTCACTTCCTCTCCCTTCAGCAAGCCAAAGCCGTATAACCATCAGTATGCAGTCAAATAACCCACCATCATTTGAGTCTATCGTAGCGATGTTCAACAACCTCCCGGAGGACATGCTTGCGTATACGAACAGAGTCGTTGACGAAATCATGGCCCAAGACCCGAATGGCCTTGACCCCTCTGCCTCGTCAATTGCCTCCAGATTCACGGAGTCTTCAAGTCCTCGTCGTCGGCATGAAACCACGGCGTCTCCTCCCGAGCCGTCCCCTCCTCCCCCGCCTCCGCCATCTCCGCCTCATCCTGGTGCGTGGGATCGTGGCCGTGCCTGCGTGGTCAACGCGACCAATACGTACTGGTCGTATGGAAGGGAACATGGGGTATGTACACTCTCCTTCTCATTTACCCGATTGTATACTAACGAGTTGTAGTGTAGTCAAGAGTCGAAGAGCAACCTCGTGGACGGCGAACGAGTTTATATGAAACAACCGAACGGTACTCTTCGCTGGGCAGTCCTCAAACAGCAAGCTCGGGGCACGCTGGCAGCTAGGGCGCACCTGAATCAGATGGTGGAAGCTGTAGGCGGCGACCCTACGACATTCAGAAACAGGCTTGCCAAAGCGGACTACGTTCTGGATCGAGAGGTACCTACCGGTGTCGTCCGTGAGGAGGACTCTGGAGAAATGTTCTCGCTTTGGTCACCAGTTCATCTGGGCCAACCAGCGTCCACTTTCTTCTGGGGGACAGGACAATTCGCGAGCGGTACACTGACGATGGTGCCGACGACCCAGGAGGAGATGGAGTGGTTTTGACGAGGTGCAGCACGTGGTCCTTGGACCGAAGAGGCTATCCAGTTGGTGTGCGTGCTCGCTAAACCGATGATGGAAGACAGCTTGTCGATGGAGGATCTGGCCGCTTGATATCAGATAGACCAAGCATAAATGAAGACATATTCCTCTACGTAAAGTCTGCCTTACCATTGTGCATATCCCATAGTTGTTTTGAAATGTTGACCTCTGGCGTATGCTTCTGCTTCGACACTTCAAGCATGGACAGTGGCAGCTCAGTCCATCGGCCCAAAATGTTGCTGACAATTCGTAGAATATCCTTCAGACATACAAGAAGTTCTTAGCGCATTTTAGGAAGTTGGCATAATCATGGCTAACGCTTAGGCCTCACAATCCGGCGTGATGTTGATGTTCGTTAAGTGTGTTCGTCTTACACTTTTCTCGCACGCCAGACCGCACTGGCGCCCTCACAACCAGAGACAGAAGCTCGCAAAGCTGTATATCCCCTGAAGGTCTACCTTCATATTCAGACCGATCCCGCTGACGTTTTGTCAGCTCCCCGCTCAAACCACCACGACCAGACAAGAGTCGCCTGAGGCATTGTGATCTCGCTCGGCAATTCGAACCATCCATACCGCGACGCTTCATCGATATGTCGACTGAAACCATAAGCATAGCTGCGTCTTCGCAAGATTCTTTCTCGCGCCTGCCAGAGGAGGTGGTCACACGCATCATGAAGTGCCACTACAACAACTATATCGGAGGTGTGCTTCTCTGCTGTGAGACGTTTTTTCCAAAGGATCCAGGCTTCTTGACAGACCTTTGTTCTTACGCTGCTGAACTATACTGGTGTGCAGACGACGAACGCAAGTATGGTTATCAGCCAGTGGCCACTACAATCGACGCAACAAAGATCCAGGAGGTCCTGAAGATCCGGCTTGTCAACAAACTCTTCGCTCGCTGCATGCTTGACGCCTTTTTAAAGAGTCCCATCATATTTGAGCATGTTTCATACGATTGGACAGATCCGGGAAAGATTTTTTGGTTTCTACCTTGCCAGATCGAGCCAAAGCTTGCCCAGCGTGGTGGACGCATTCAAGCTGAATACTACACCAGGGTTCCCTACACGTACCGCTTTGTTTGGAATAAGACCGACATCCATGGGCCCTTGAGGCGATAGAAGCCCTCCAAGCAACCCCTCAGCTAGGAGGCGGATCCGCAAATACCAACATGCTTGCCCTCTCCCACGAGAGCTGAAACTGGCTACGCACCAATTTCCGATCATCGCTTGATCCCGTGGATGCTTGCGGACAGCCGCCTCCGCAGCAAGACAACGTATGCAGCCGGCGGACAAACCAATTGCTACGACGAGCATCTTACAAGGCTCTTTACACACTCAAGCCGGCAACGAATCTCTGGCGTCTCTCAGCCACGAGGAGTGACCAATGCTTTATCGTAGAGTGACTTCTGAGGAAACCACAAGATCACGAACAGATGTAGCTTCCACGTCCGTCTTCTATCCCTCCGTTTGGACCGATAGGAAAGTACAACATCGCCTGCGTTCCCAGAGCATGAAGCACTACCTCATCTCGTGCGAGCCGGATATGGCGACCGCCTGCGAGTATCTCCAACAAAAACCCCAGTAGACGAGCGCGTTGGGAGAGATGGGGAGGATGTTATGACATACTTCGCATTGCTAGGGAAAGATAAGGAGCTGGATGTCGCCTTCCGCACCTGTAAAATGACAGAGAAGGACGCATACACGGTCCTGGAGATATATTCTCACTTCGCAAGTTTGCGAATGGCAACCATGGGTACCGAAGAGGTATCCTGGTTTGTAAGGGAGACGTCGACTTCAGGTACCCAACTTTAGAAGACGTGGGATGACGCTATCAGCGAAGACACCGAACCCAAAGTCTTCTCTCAACAGTTCAAGCTTTCTATACTCCTGACATCTCTGGAGTAATGTCTTTCCTCTTCTAGGATGATGTACGAATGCGAAGAGCCCTTGCCCTTCCACAGTGGAAAATGGACATGTATCCAGGGCATACTTGGATCGCACAATCCCATCCTTGGAGGTAGTAAGTCAAGAAGCGGATACGACGGTCTCATTTCTGAGTATGGTGATGTCCAAGGTAGCGTCCCTGGGTGGCCTTGGCCTAGACGAGACCTCGCTTTGGACTGATATGGTCGCATTTTTGCACCCTACGAGGAGAGTCTGATCTCAATGAAGCACTGGGTGCAGCACCAGCCGCTATACCACGATGCACTGGCGTATGTTTCAAACGGCTGCATATCTCTGGGAAAGGCTGCGAGGGGTATATCGGATCTCCCGACAGAGCTCGTCTGCAGGATCTTCAAGCACATATGCCTGTTCGATGGCTCGGTACTTATGGCGTTGGATCGCAGCGTTGTGTCAATGGTTCTAAGCATTTTTGCTGCGAGGTTTTACTTCCAAAGTACCGTTCCGTTGCCTATGGCCAGACACATTACTGGTTCATGGCTGACCAATTCTTGAAGAACATTTTTCAAGTTATGGACCTGCGTGAAGCCTGTCGTGATTGGGTGGTATGATCCTAGACAATTTCTCAGAACAGTTTCCGGTATCAGAGTCGCCATCGGCCCAGCAGATGAAGAACCGGACTCAAGCTTGTAACCATCCGCGAAACTGTACTCCGTGGTCTCAATCTCGGACATCTTATCATCCTCTTACTGTATCGAAACATATGTTGATACCAACAACGATGAGCTGTAGTCGTAACTCTCGAAAATAGTACGGTTGTCGGCTTCGCCTCTGTCACAGAGAGATCTATCAGGATACGTGCATGGTCTGGTGGCCATGGCCAGGTACCTGGGTTTCTAGCAATTGGCTGTATTGACTCCGAGGAGATTAGGGTCATAAAGCGCCAGGTCTATTGGATTACTCAGCGGACGTATCGGTGACGACGAGGATTTGGATTCGAGTCGAGACTGACGTGCGACAAGGAAGAGGTCATCCTATCATACAATAACCTCAGGTTTGGCCCGAGGTGGTCGTCTAATCAGCGAGTTCGCCCTTACTCAGGGTGTAGAGGCGTATACCTGAAGTATTTTCTGTCTCACGCACAGCCCCGTTCTATTACAACAGTGGCAGGGGATTGCCCTATAGCATGATCGAGGGGGCAAGCGCGGGGCAGATCTGTGAAGAAAGGGCGTCCGACCCTAGTGCCACAGAACCGGGTTGCTTTGGTGAGGTTTTGCGAGGACCGCCATGCCCCCGCTGCGATAGAACGCCTGCTGTTGATCACAAAAGCATCCCAAGAGATGTCTCTACATTGCTGTCTTTGGCCATGCTCGTCTTCAACGGAGGATCGGGCGAAGGGTTCGAGGGTGAGGTCGAGTCTGCTTGCTACTCGGGGCTAGGCTCGCAAGACTGTACCAGTGACACGAGAGGCTAGGAAGGACGGGAGAACGTAGGCGAGCTTGCTGTGAGGTTGCTCAAGAACCCGTTCTTGTCAGCAACTTATACAGTGGTCTCGTGGGGCGCAGGAAAAGCAACCAGGCTCAGAAAGGTTGAGTTGGGTACAGAGAGAAGTGAGCGGCTGTTCGTCGTGATGGAAAGTGAACTTCAAATCGAGGCACCACCGAAGCTTCAGCCTTCTTCGGACTGACAATCAATCGCCACCGCAATCAACTGTCACGAACCTACCACCACATCTAAATCACCTCAGTCCAAATCCTGATGTTATTAGTCGGAAGCTCAAAGGACGATCAAGGGAGTTTAGCCAAGCGCTTGTATAGAGTCTTCCGCGATGCTCTGCACTTCTTGCCTCAGAAATGATCATATAAGCACCCAACACACCCGTATATAGAAAATGGTCCTGGGATGTTGCAGTTTAGCTGTTCGGGACTACTCAGACAAGCGACCTGCTCCAGCCTCCCACAAGGAAGACATCGCCAGCCAGCGTAACACTGGTGGCCTGGAAGGCAGCACAGAGGATACGAAGGATGTACAGATCTCCATGAATACGGTAGGCAGATAAGCTAGAAGGTCATTTCATGACTTTCGGTTGCTGGAACAAGACGAAAATATCGCGAATATCCTCAGGAGGCATCGAAGGCATTCATAGTAATCAGGAAGAACGGCTGAATGTAGACTACAGAGCAGGAAACTGGCCACAGGAAGAGTTCGCGACAGTGACATGAAGAGATTCAGAGAGATATGTTTTACGTGGTACACGTCGGAGGTAAACTGTCCCACGCGAGATGGGATGATGTCAGGAGGTTGGGAAGCTACCCCACCGGATTTTGGAAGCTCCCCACTGCACGCTAGACAGACCCCGGCCTCCGATACAGGCCGGCAGAGTCACCGATCTAACTTTCCCAAAAATTGCGACTCAACAATCATCATATTCTTTGCAACATCACAATGGCGACCGTACCCGACTATTCACGGCCGACGACGCCTGAAAATGGTACCAATGGCACCAATGGCCTTGCCTCGCCTCGCACGCCAAAGACAGGCCTCGCCCTCACCGAGTACAGCGCAAACCCCAGTCCGCCTTCCGAATCCAACACTTCACGAACCAACCATGCCATACCCGACGCGTTCCTTCTGCCCAATGGCTATCCCGATTACCTCCGCCTCATCCTCACTTCGCGCGTCTACGAAGTCGTCCAGGAAACGCCCCTCACTCATGCGACCAATCTCAGCAACAGACTAGAATGCAATGTTCTACTCAAGCGCGAGGACTTACAGCCCGTCTTCAGCTTCAAGCTACGCGGCGCATACAACAAAATGGCACATCTGGACCCCAAGGACAGGTGGAAAGGAGTCGTTGCATGCAGCGCCGGAAACCATGCACAAGGTGTCGCATATTCTGCGCGCAAGCTGAAGATTCCCGCGACTATTGTCATGCCTTCTGGCACTCCCGATATTAAACACAAGAACGTCTCACGGCTAGGAGGTTCAGTGATACTACACGGCGCTGATTTTGACGCTGCAAAGGCAGAGGCTGCAAGGTTAGAGAAGTTGCACGGCCTTATACCTATACCGCCATTCGACGATCCCTATGTCATTGCAGGCCAGGGTACTGTTGGCATGGAGTTGCTGCGACAGACCAACCTGCAAGATCTGAAGGCCGTTTTCTGCTGTGTCGGTGGTGGAGGACTCATCGCAGGCACAGGTGTATACATCAAGCGGATAGCACCACACGTCAAGATCATAGGAGTGGAGCAATACGACGCAAACGCCATGGTCGAGTCGCTGAAAGCCGGAAAGCGCGTCTTCTTGAAGGACGTGGGACTGTTCGCTGATGGAGCCGCCGTCAAGACAGTCGGAGAGGAAACTTTCAGGATATGTCAAGAGGTCGTCGATGAAGTAGTTCAGGTTACAACAGACGAGACATGCGCCGCCATCAAAGACATGTTCGAAGACACACGCTCCATCGTTGAGCCTGCAGGCGCACTCGCCCTCGCAGGCCTGAAGAAATGGGTGAACCGCAACCCATCACCGGATCGCAATCGCGGTCTGGTTGCCATTGCTAGTGGCGCAAACATGAACTTCGACCGCCTCCGCTTTGTTGCCGAGCGTGCCGCCATCGGTGAAAACAAAGAAGCCATCCTTTCCGTCACCATCCCCGAACAACCCGGTGCCTTTGCTAAGCTCATTTCGCTCATCCATCCCATGGCCATCACAGAGTTCAGTTACCGCTACTCAGGCCCCAACTCCGCCCAAATACTGGTCGGCGTTGAGTTAAAGGCTGCAACACGGACCCGCGACCTACCCGACCTCCTCAACCGTCTCGGCGCTGAGGGCATGACTGCTGAAGATCTGTCTCAAGACGAGCTCGCAAAATCGCATATCCGCTACCTTGTTGGAGGTCGCAGTAACGCCGCTGACGAGCATCTTTTCATGTTCGAGTTCCCTGAGCGGGGAGGCGCTCTGTACAAGTTCTTGAACACATTGCAGCCAGGCATGAACATCAGTCTTTTCCACTACAGGAACTACGGGGGAGACGTTGCGAAGATCCTGGCCGGTATCCAATGTAAGGAGGAGGACAGTAGCAAGCTGGCAAGTTTCTTGAAGGACATCGGATACCCGTACAAGGAAGTGACCGACAGCCCAAGCTACAAGATGTTCTTGAGGCAGTGAGATGGGCGAACCTAAGAAGAAGAGAAGAGATCATGTCAAGATAAGATCGGGAACGAAGATATGAAGGAACAATGCAGATACCCCTTTCGATTGTTATAATTGCTCACTCACTTCCAAGCAGCATGTAGATTCCAGAGCCCATGCTCACAGTCCCACAAGCACTACCTACCAAGGCCAGCACCCCTCTGCCTTCAAGTAGCCCCCATGCTCCTCATCCCTTCTCGCCTCCAGGATAGCAATCATGGGCTTCGCACCCTCCCTCGTAGGCTTCGCCTCATGCTCTACTTTATTCTACTCCGGGAATTAGTCCCCGTCTGACCGGACCAAAGACGACTGCAAAGCCAGATGCAGATGAGATGCAACATACCATTGGTCCTAAATTACTCTCGGTGAATCCAGGGCAGAAACAAAACACCTTCCATCCCTTGGGCCCATACTCATAGTCTTGACACGCAGTAAGCATGTTCAAAGCCGCTTTGGAAGTGCGGTATGGCACCTGTTCACCTCATTAGCACGAACATGGCCACTCGGGATACGTGAGAGTCATACGACTTTCATCTCCTGATGCGGATTGGTCCTGTCAACTCTTAACCAAATACTGCCAGCTCCACTTGTCACGTTGATAATTCGTGGCGTCCTACCCATCTTTTCGCTCCTCTCGAGCAACGTCGCGAAAGTCTCGACGATGATGACGGGACCAGTCACATTGGTCAGGAAGGCGGCTGCCATACGTGTGGACAGAGAAGCTGAAGTGGGTGGTTCACCAGTTATTGCGGCGTTGTTGATCAAGGCATCAAGGCGACCGTGTTTCTCTTCTACCATCTTCCCAGCATCACTGATGCTGTTCTCGTCATTGACGTCTATCTGCAACAACTCGGCCTTGCCAGGCAGCTCTCTTTCCTGTAAAAGCTTCACAGCGGCTTCGCCTTTTTCAATGGAACGGCTACCGAGCAGGATATAGTACTTGTTATCGCGCAAGAGTTGGGCGGCGAGCTCGAATCCGATCCCTCCGTTTGCTGTACCCGCAGTGTTAGCGAACAAGGTCTAAGAGCTTCAATCACAGAAGAGAGAGTAAATATGAAAGGAGAAGAAGAGTGGCAAGTTGCATGAAGAAAAAGGCAAGAACTGAGGAAAGGGGGTAGTTTACCGCCGGTGATGAGAACGATGGTCTGTTCTTCAGAAGCCATGTCGTTTCTTTGTCCGTTCAAGCATGCTCTTAACAAGGGGATATGATGTTTCTTGCTGCAGCCAAACCTGTGTCTACTTCGAATCGACAAAGTCTAGCCTCTTTATATCTCCTCTCGTCCCTCTCCCGCTTCTCAACCTCATTCTTACTATCAGTCTACTTCCTCGGCTACTTACCGCGTTCCTCAGTCTATACGGCACTGTGCCCACTTTTACCTGCATACGGCCGCGTCTTCGGAAGTGCAACACGCCATTCGCATACTGCGATGTAGTATGGGCCCATCTTTGCTGCTTCGAGACGTACCATGTAGTGCAAAAGCCCAGACGACAGAAGCACGCCTGGACCAATGAGTATCTCTCAAACCGTCTGAACAGCATGTCAGTAACGCACTGTTGATCGTCCTAACTCGATGGTCTTAGTCGGTCGGCGGGGATAACGGACTCAGGCTCACAGCCATGGGGTTAGACGGAAGCCACGGAATTCTTGAGAATACGAAGGAGGGTTAGACTGGAAAGGCAGGGTCCTTTGACATCCAACGTGCATGATGAAGCTTGATTGTTTCTCTCATTTGTCTATTGACTATCTAAATTGTGCGGTGATGTTGCAATTCGAGAGCCGCTATCGGCTGCGTGGTATCCTATAATGCAAGCTCCATCCTTACCCAACAAGAAAATAGAAAACGCCGGCGCCTCACCAACGCCCACCTGATGCAATAGTGATAGCGAGTGTAGAGTTGGTCGGACAGAATATGAGCAGCCGCGATCATGCACGGTCACACCCTATCTTCTGCAAAATCCAATACTTCGCAATCGTCCTCGAAAAAGTTCTCCTCATCACCCTCCTTCTTGATACGTCTTCTTCGCGTAGTGACGACAACCTGTTCCACCTCTTCTTCACCGTCCTGAAGGACAAGCTTGTTCTCGAACTTGGGAGCAATACCGGCAATATCGTCCTCTCCAGAATCGTATGCTTGGGTAATGGGCGTAGAAAGCCGGGTCGCCTCAATACTCTCGCCAAAGAGCCAGGGGGAGTCGTCTTCGTGGTGGAGGTCGGAGATTAGTCCTGGCAACGAGGGCTGGTACTCACTGCTCTCCTCGTGAATCTCGAGGGGCTGTCTTGAATAGACAAAACGTGCGACGCGTTTATCTGTATAGAAAGGCTGGTAAGGAGGATTCGTTTCAATCTCAGAGAAACTGAGTGGTGCGAGAGATGACGTGACGGGCTTGCGAGAAGGCAAAGACCGAGGAAGCCAGTCGCCATAGCAGTCCTGTGTTGGCTCCGCATCACCGGGCTGTGGGAATAGTTGCTCGGTGATAGAAAGCGGTAGTGCGGAGTCCAAGATAGGGGCGAGTCCAAATTCAACTGTCTTCTTCTTGGTTATCGACGCAGTATTGGATGACTTCCCCTTGCCTGTCGCAGCTCGCATCTGCACTCGCCAGATCTGAAGTACGCCACCTGACACCAATGCGATTGAGCCGCGGCCTCTGCCAGAAAGCCAGCGTACGCTGTATGGCTTGACGCCGCTAGGTGACGATGGCAGCGTCATCTTGTTGTCGCCCGCGTGACGTATGTTGTTGATTGACTTGCCTACACCAGCAGCAACGGCTTTACCGGACTTTGCGCCAGCAGCAGGTGTTACACCTAGACCACTTAGACTGAATCGAGACCCCGCAGCGCTGTTCTTCGCGCGGACGGCATCAAACCAAGGCTTAGCGCTATTGACGGCCTGCATTGCTGAGTTGACCATGCCGGTTGAACCCGTGGAAGCCGTGGCCTCCTTTGGTGGGGCAGAGGGTGCCGCAGGACGAATTCGTCGAGCTGGCGGCCATTGGAAGGCCGACGCAGGCATAGGAAACATGTGTACTGTTCCTTTATCGGTGATGACTGCTAGTTTATCGACTCGAGGAGCAGACCAAACAACATCAATGACATTGGCAACAGTCATTCTGGTAAATCGAGCGACTTGTCGAACATAAGGGCCGGATGGTTGCTCTCGAAGAGTCTTACGGACTCGTCGGAAATTCATCCGCTTCAAATCCCAAACATCCTGGTAATCGCCCTTCTTGCTTACAGTCATGAGCATCAGACCACTGGGGGCGAATGACATGAAGCTACAGCCGAGAGCTGCTGGTATAGTAGCAACGGGATGGAGAGCGTTCTTGTTCCTCGTTTCTTCCGCATCCACCAGTCTCTGCAAGTCGTAAACGGAGATGACGGTTGCTTCTTGTCTTGGCTGAGTCTGGCTGTGGCCATGAGTCGGTGGGAAGTAGTGCTGCATAGGATCTTGACCATATGGCACGTTATTTCCTTGTTGACCTCTGTTCATGTAGCTCTTGAAGGCTTGCACTCCCTTCTCGGTAGCCCAGCGCGCGCCCTTGATTGCAACTTGTGTCCCTTCCCGTGTAATTCTATCGAGCAAGCCTGCTTCGTTGGGCATATCGACAGCACAGTTGGGCGACGGCTGAGGTGGTACGCTATGGTGTGCAAGACCTGGAGCACGCTCATAGTACGGTGAGGTCAGCGCGACACCATTGACAGGGTAGAGCGCACTCGAAGCTGGTGGAGTGACTGCGAGCCAGCGATCAGAGAGAGAAAATACGGGCAAGCCATATTTCTCAGGAGGGATCTCGTCATGACTTCCATCGACGGCACTCGAACCGTTTGAGTGAACAGCTCGTTCGCGATTCTGAACCGAAGTCCACAGTTTGCCAATGCAGCGGAACTGCTCGCCGTACTCTGGGTGATTTCCCAGGTAAGGTGCGAACACGAAGACTTCGCCACTTGCGCCAGATGCAACGACAACAAACTTGCCCTTCGCCTCGATGACAAAGTCGCCTATTGGAGGTGGAGGTTGGAAGAGCGGGCTGTCAATTGGACTCGTGAGAGGGATCAAAGGAGTTCGGTACAGGACAGCTAGCCTCCGCTTCTCTTTCAGTGAGTAAATTTCAACGGTCGTCTGGTAGCCACTGATCTGGCCATCCCGATTGCCATGTCTCGAGGATGGCCTACTAGGCGATTCAGAGGCTGAGTCGTCGACCACGGAGGATGCCCCGCTTCCACTAGAGCTTCTACTGTCCTTGACGACCGGGCCGTGAAGAATGAGTGCGACCAGTGGACGGGAAGCAGCTAGAGGGTCTCGCCGCGATGTCCATGGCAAGATCTTGGCACCTATGACACCACCCCTGAGGCCTTCTAGACGGCCCACGATATCCATCTTGCTCTTCTCGACACGGAAAACGTCGAGCCCTCCTTGAGATCCAACGAGCAGCACATTCTCGGATGACCGAGCTGCTTCGTCTCCTGCCATGGATAGAGTGTCGAAGCCACAGAAGTAGCCTCCTTCGCCCGGCTGGATACCATCGGTTGGGCCATTGTTGAGGCCGAAGTCAATGTTTGGCAAGCCATAGTAGTGTGCTTGAGGTTGATGTGGCAGGGGCGGGTTTGGCACGAAGTGTTGCGACGGCGGACGAGCGCCGTGTTGCGAATACATGGATGCCCTGCGATCTCTGCCGGGCGAGTTCTGCAGACGGTCGCCAAAGTTTGTGTATTGACTGGGATGACTCAGAGGCCTTGCACCTGGAGGGGAGTTGGACATGGCCTGTTGTGCATACAGTCCGTCTCGTGCACCTGGCGAGTTGTGAAAGGTAGGCGGTGAACTGGCTATGGCTATACCACCGTTTCCTGGCGAGCCCGAGTTGGGAAAGAAGGGCACCGACTTGGCCCACTCGTTGGTGTATTGTGCGGCCGTGGTTCGCGTGGCACCGATAGCCGATAGTAATGGAGACGTGGTGGCATTGTAGTTTGAGGGTGGAGACGTGGAGGACAGACGCTTTGCTGAGGAAGGCGACCTGGTTCTGGGGCAGTCAGTTATGTTGGAGGACAAACAAGAGTCACTCGGTCGCTCTTTCTACCTGAGCGTCACCCCTGACGTGCACATGGCAGGGACACCTACATCTCTCTGGGATAGATGCGCGTAACCTTGTCGGCCGCCCTATTTCTTCTTCCCAACTCATATCTCGACGTGTTGCGGCCGCGCGCTTGTGGCGTGTCCTGTACCTTTGTGCCTTTGCGCTGTTGCTTGTGCAGGTAGGTGAGGTTGGAGACAGGCGTCGTATACTCGGCGGCGTTGTCGGGCGATGAGCTCATATAACCTGTGGATAAGCGTGTGGAGGTGTCTGTTGGAGCGCCAGCTCAGTCGTGGAGAGTTGCTGTGTGTCGTGGCCTGGAGGTAGGTTGTGGGGGTAGCGACGGATGAGCGCGGCGAGTGAGTTCGGATGGATGCTAGACACGGCGTTGCGTCATGCGCCTTCGTGACCAAGGCGCGTGAAGGTTGCAGTCCCGTGCTTGCACAGCAAGACGCTTATACAGAGTACTGGCTGGTGCCTTGTTCCTGACTCGGCGGCGCGTTATCGGGGCCTATCTGGTCTTCGCTCGGTATGATCGGGAGGCGCTCGTGGTGGCTATCGTTAGAGCCGCGGGGCTGGAGCTTCACGCGGCACGCTATGTAGGAGGCTCCTCAGCGCGTAATGCAAGTCAGTCTGGGTACAGCGCGCAGTCGTGAGTCAACTTGGAGCTTTATCTAAGCTTCCAAGTGTTGAGATATGAAATGCAGGGCGTCGTAAGTGCAGTTAGCTGTGTCGCTGGCCTGGTCGGTACTGAGGGGCAGCTCATAGCTTATGCAGGTGCATGTCGCGCCCTCACCCTTCCATTCGCCCTGCAACATGGTCGCCGCCGGCACCGCCCTTTGCGCTGATATCTAGCCCCTCTTTAGCTGCTTCTAGTCATTCCTAGATTGCGGGCGTGCTAGTTGGGTCAAGTGACTTCAGCGAGCACGGTAGATGCCTGAGTAATGTTGTTGGGCAGCCACATGCGGCGTTCCGCGAAGCATTCCGATCAGTGACGTTCTGGCATGCATATCACGAGGCCCACATCCCGCGCGGCATCTCGTGGCTTGCACGTGCTTGTATCTTTGGCCTCATCCTACAAAACCACAGCCGCATC